GGGGGGGGGGGGGGGGGGGGGGGGGGGGGGGGGGGGCAGGACCCCCCTGACACACTCCCCAAATCTGCCACTGTGCAAGGAATTAGATTCCTTGGTATATGAGACTTAAAGGTTTTTTCCAAATTCACTGAACATGCTGACACTTTGAGGCACAACTATAGTACATCTTATACTGTTGTGTCGATTAAGAAGATGATCTAGATAGTGACGTACATTATATTGGGGGTAAAGTCTAACAAACACAAATGCTATAGATTAATATCTGGCACATAAATTTAGTGACATGAGTACATGTCACAAAATTGTATAGGCTTCAAGCCCTCCCTCTAGGCAGCAAATTATTTATGGGGGGTGGGCTTTTTCTAAAAAAAAAAAAACAACTTTTTCTCAAGTTGGGTCAAGGAGAAAATAACAGGCTAAGGATTGAACTGACTTAAATTCAAGGGATCACTGTTAAGGTCTGTCCTTCTGCTAAATATCATATGACCATTACAACCTAACATACTACAAGACAAGTCTTTTCCAGTGTTCAATTTCACACATCTATGCTGAAATTCCTTACTCATATGTATGTCCAGCTGTGACCGTACGCTGGCAAGATGCCAATGACATTGAGATAATTGACAACAATCAACATGCATAATTTGAACTGTGCACCATACATATTTCACTCTCCTGTGACATATTTAAGCACTCGAAGCTTTTGAATATTTAACTAGCAGGTGAAATCCAATATTCTAATAAGCAATTGGATCTTGGTATTATAGGCAAATTCTTAAGACGCAATTGATATTTGAACATTCTAGACTGAGGAGTTGGGGACGTGTTTTTAATGCAATATGTCACAGTACGAAGTTGGAAAAAAAAGTAAACAAAGGTGGATTTGACGTTACCTTGACTTCCCTACACCGCTTTCTCCTATGATGAGAATTTTGAGGGTTGTAAGGACTTCAGATTCGTTCATTCTCGTGTTTTTTCTCCCTTGTCTGTCACTTTTTCAGTAAAAATTCCAAGTTGGAAGATGTCTCATCATCAAAATGAAAATGGTGAATGTGGACTACGTCATCGAAATCTGCAAATGTAGGTTGTCGCTAGGTGGCAGCTCATCCAATACAACACATGAACAAGTACTTTAAACAACAAATATGATCAAAAACAAAACATCATTCTCTGTCTTTCCAGAGAGGGTCACTAAAAGAAAATTTTTTAAACAAATATTGACCAAATTGGGTTATAAACGATCAGAAAGATAAGGGTAGTTTTAATCTGGCTTTTCTTGAAAAGTGCTGCCACCTTTCAATAGATACCTTGTTTATCGTTGGCCGCCAACGTATGAACGTGAACGTTATCGGTTTTCTACGTTTATGGTCCGATCTATGGCGTTGTGGTGAGTAGCGTATACTGTTGATCATCTAGTTAGTGATGACATGTATCTAGAATGTTTGATTCTTTATCGTTCTCCTTTTCTGGCCACGTACTGTGATCAAACAAAGGTGAAAGACAAATGCACGGACAACAACGTTTACAATAAAAAAAATGTTGACATCATTGAACATTGCTGGGGGTGGAAATGCGCTACTTATATGATTATGACGAGCCTAACCGTCAGTACATTGGAACCGACACTTGTCGGATTAAACAAAAAACAAATTTCATCGCGTTATAATGAGCAAACACACAGATTTTAGGTGGAATGCTGCGGATACTACTGTGTTAATCGTTGACGTCTTAGTTCTTTTTCCGCTTAGATTTAGACGACAAGTGAATGCAGATCAAGCCCACAAAAACTGATATTCTGTCAAAAGGCACATGCATACAAATTAAATGATATTTAGCAGTTAAACATGCAATTACTTTCACTTTTTTATAACTTTGAAACGCCTCAGTGCGATGAGTGCAAGTGGGAGTGGAGACGAGTTGAAGGCAGAGACGGAGACCCTGAAAGCCAAGCTGAGCCAGGTACAGCACACGTTCCTAGAAGAATGGTCTGGAGACATGACTGCTGCCATGGCAGAGCAGAAGAAGAGGCACGAGGAGGTCATGAGAAAAGGAAAAGGTATGTTATCAGGGCTTCACTTTAAATATGGCCTGCTGGCCATGGGCCACTGAAAACCAATCTTGGGCCAGTGAATTAGCAGTATAGGGGTTACTGACCCAAATGGTAAGTTAAATTTAATGTGCCAAGTAACCCTTGTAATGTTTACCTGTCCTCTTGGGCTTAATGGACCAGTGGAAAAAAGTTAGTGTCAAGCCCTGAGACTATGCAGGCTGATGACTTGAAGGATAGTGAGCAGGTGAATTTTCCAATTTCTTGCTCATGTGTACCTCATTTTTAAGATCGTTCGCAATATTACTTGTAAACACTACAAACATATTTTCCTGTATTATTTCAGAGGACATGGAAGCATTGAAAGCAACACTTGAGCAGTTGAAAGGTCAGGCTAAGACAAACCAGAAAGGTAAGGAAAATGTGAAGTTAAGTTTACTTTCAATTGATAAGTGTACAACAATTATTAGATGTGCTTTTGGATCATTGAGTTAAGATTAAGCATTACTAAAATGGGAAATATTTTGTGAAACTGTGCCCTTGGACAGGACTTCTTCTGTTTAACAAAAACTGAATACATATAATTTATTATGAAATGACCATGATGTTCTTTACCCGTGGTAAAACACAGGCAAGCAAGCTGAAGTTGATGTATTGAAATGTAGTCAGTACAGTGGCAGTTCATTTATAAATTCATTTTTTTTAGTCATGGAGGAAAGAATTGGTAAAATGAAGCAGCTCAGGGAGGACATTGGCACAGTAACAACAGAGACAGACTCTTTGTTGAGAGAGAAAGAACTTGCCATGGAGGAAATGAAGTCCATGCAGGAATACATTCAGAAGCAAAAAGAATGTGAGTTACTTGTTTTGAAAGTCTTAAAAGAAGTCAAAGACAGTACAGAGATCATACACATTACTGTTATTACAATAGGAAATAAATACAAGTAATTTGTAGAAATGTGATGAAAGGATGCGATGACTGGTGAAAAGTTAATCATTATTTAATTATAATTATCTCAATAAGAAAATAAAACAATTTCATCCAAAGATGATTGTTTGCTATCAGTATATAATCATAATATCACCTGACCAATGTTTGTCTTTACCTTCTAATCTGTGAAGCTAGGACAAATCAAATACATTTATTTTTTGCAGTAATAACAGCCCAAGAACAAGCCACCCATCAGAGGTTAGATGAACTACAGAAGGCTTCAGAATGGTTTAAAGACCGATTAGGAATACAGTTCAAGAAAACATCAGGTTTGTACCTTTTGCTGAATTCATCGCATCATAGACGCAGCTAATTCTGAGGTCATATCAGTTTTTAAGAGCTAACCAGTTCTGTTTTTCTGATGCAAGTGATGTCAAGGGACTTTAATCATGTGTTTGTCATTCTCTCTCTCTCTCTCTCTCTCACTAAGACTTTCTCTCTCTGCATGTGTGTGCGTGTGTTTGTGTGTGTTAAGAAACATTATTATGAAAGAGGTTTTTCATAGTCACTAGATGGGATGATACAATAGAATAATTATCATTCATTACTTAGAGACCGAATCACATTAGTAAAACATTTGGACCAATATGCTGTGTTTGACTGATATCATTTAGTCTCTGAGTAAAGAATACTTTTATTTTATAATTCATGTTGTCTGAACTTCTTGTATAATTACCATAACTTGTGGTTAACTTTGCAGGGAACAGACTTCAGATGGTGTTCACATGTATAGACCCCAAAGACACATCCAGGCCTTTCTTCTTCTCTGTAAAGATAGAGGCAGATGGGACCTACACAGGTTAGTAGGATAGGTTTGCGAAACAAGGGGTTGAATTCCCAAGATGCAGAGTTGGATAGGTCCTTGTAGACCAATGGTGTAAATGAGAATGGGGCAGGCCTTAGGCATTAACATAGGTAATCATAATGGTGCTGGCTATTAAATGATAATTTAATACATACTTCAGGGTTAAGTATTTAGATGGGCACTATAGTGTTACTGGATATTGATAATTTTGGCATTTTGTCTCTTAAGCACACAGTACACTTAAAATAACATGTGCACCAAATAGCTAGTTCATATCTTGGCTTTCCGTGTCCAAAATGTACCCATGAAATAAAGCACAGGTGTTGGGCTTAATTATGCCCCCGGTTTTAATCGAAATCATCGAAAGGTTTATCAAATATCAATATACTCAAGCTACTTTTGTCTTGGGAGTTCAGCTCCCTTGTACAAAATGATTTCTGAAAAGATGAAACATTTTTGCCTTTTTGTTTGTGAGGCAAGTTTTGAGCTTTCATCAAAGGGCCTTGATCACAGAAATTGGGATGTGAGCTCTCTCATCTATGATGCTGACGAGTTCGCCATGTGAAGAAGTTCCTTAGTTGAACTAATGATCGAAAAGCCTTCATTGAGGTTTTTAAGGTGCATGTGATGTACATGACAGCGAAATACCAGTGCACTTCAAGTATACCTGACAAGTGCAGAGTACAACCAGTATACTTTTTCCTTCTCAAAATTCTCTATGGTATAATTGTCATTAGCATTTATTTTCCCTTTCAATTTCAGTGTCGGACTGTGAACCAGAGATCGAGAATCTTCCAGAGCTGGTTGAAAAACTGAATGCAACCAACAACTTCAGGTCCTTTGTGATCACGATGAGAACTTTGTTCAAGGCGAAAGTGTGTGGGTGATAGATATAAAATATGGACACAGAAATGGGGAGTAGAGCTTTAGAAGTGCCAGTTCTTCTTATGCAAATATATTGCCAGTCAGCAATATGCTTGTTTTTTAAAGGTCACTCATGAGCTGTATGCAGGGGGGATGATAATGTGACAGGGGGGGAGGGGGGGTATTTTTAATGTTTTTTTTTTCTTTGAACTGCTGTTCATCTTGTTGTAAATACAAGTCAGATAAATGGTTGCATTTCATAAGTCTAAAGACATGTGAAGTGGAAATTTGGTGCACATGAATCTTATGGCAGTTTTAAGCAGCTTTTGATATACTTTTAAAACGATCTTGTGTGTAAGTGTGAACATCATTTTTTAAGGCTGGTCTTCCCAATTATTTTTTTTCTTAGTGAAACATCTGCTTAACAATAGTCGTATCAGTTTTGTTAATGATGTTAAAAGTATGTACTTTTCAAGCTAGAATAATACTTTTTTCCAGCCGTTTTTTCTTTTAATGTTGAAAAATGCAGATTTTGTAAATACCTTAATTGTTAATACTGTGCTTACATAAATTTTTAGAATAAATGCACTAACTTAACGGATTTGGAATTGCAGCTTCCACTCAATTAATTTAAATGAAGCAGTGTGAAGTTGGAATTCACTTTGCTGCAACTTATGTGTGCCCGAAGAAAGTAAAAAAGATTCAGGGATTTCTGTGCCAATTTTATTGTGCATCCAAGGGCACTGGTAGAAGCAAATATTTCACAACTTGTTAAAACACTGAGGCTGACATGATGTAGAGACAAAACCTACTCTTGATAATTATAAATCCTTTGGCATCGACATTGAAACCAAACAATAAACCATTAAAAAAATGAACATGTACACAATACAGTAGACATAAAACTATATGTAGAGTACTGTCATGAGAAAATTAATATTTAAAAATAACAGTCTGCCGTAAATGGCTCCCTTGTACCCTTAAAAATGAGATAACTTCTATAAAATTAATTTTATATGATGAAATACATTCTAAGGGACTGATAAATATCTTAATTACTTAAATGTAAGAAAATCCATCCATTTTGAGACTATTACATAATATATTGTGTAAATAAATTGACCCTTTCAATAAATGTCTAACATATTTGTAAACAAATTCCTTAATACTTGTATAATGTTGTCCATCTAAAAACTTTACAGATATGTTATTTTATAATGTAAATAAATCTTAGATAAAGTAGATTGTCTAACTTGATTTTGTCTGCTGGCTAAATAATTGTCAAAAATTGTCTCAATTATTTAATACTCTGTGCTGAAATACCATGACATAACACACTTTTAGAGCAAATCCTTAGTCTCTAGACTGATGGTGCCAACAAAAAATTAAAATGTCTCAATTATTTTAAAAAAATTACTGAAAAATTCCAAAATTGTCTAAATAATGCACAAACTTTGTCACTTTGATCTTCTTTATGATCACAATGTCTAAACAGATGCAAAAATAAATAATACTTTTCAGAACAAAACTCCTACATGTTGTCCAAATAGTTACAAAATAATTTGTGTTTTATATTCCTATTACCACCAAAACTCCCACTGGTATTTAAGTTGCCATTGATCATCACTTGGGCTATTGTTTGAATTTCCTAATTCATAATTACCCTGCTTAAAATTTCACATCATGAGACACATACATCACTTTTCTAACAATATGACATCACATAACTTTTAAAAAATAAAATAGTAAAACTAATATTCAGTTTTTTAGTACTGGAACCCTGTATTTTAGAGGTCGAATACCACATTTTTTCTTTACCCAGAATATGGTACTTGGGTATATATCTATGATAAGGTTTATTTGGGTTCAAAATGATTGTGGAAGTGTTCTATTCCCACGTACTTGAGGTCAAAAGTAAAAGATGTGTTGGCATTCATTAGGTATGTGTGAGAGTTATCTTCCAGAGTTTCTCAGCCAAAAAGCTACATGTGAAAGATTGTCATTTTGACTGGCAATTTGTTTTAAATATCTGACTGAAATTGAATAAAGACACCTTTTGATTTGGAACTGAAGACAGCAGCTGAATTGTTCATTGACACCAGCATTGCTCGCTGATAGCTGGTGGAGTGACTGAAACGTTTTTAGTACACTGCCGCCCACAGAAAACAGCACAATAAATTTAAATCTGAATATGTCCCATAGTCCTATTTCCTATGACTATACCTCCTGCATAAATACTTCCCTATTCAGATTTCAAAAGTGACAAAATCCTCCAAATATACAGTATCTGATGTGGATGGGAGACATAAGTCCGCGTGATTGACCAATCTTCCTTTAGAAGCTAATTTTAATAAGTTGTACTTCAGTTAAGTATTGCAGAAAAAGGATTTAAAAAGCCAACCTGCCTGTGGCACATTTTATCTCTTAACCAATGCAACTGTAAAATTATAATAATATATTTTGTGAATCACTCTACTATTTATTTTGTTAACTTCATCCACTTGCAATGAGGTATTACTTATCTAAAGAGAACACATTTTATATTTTTAACCACAAATGTGCTTCTAAACTATTACATGGAATGTCTTTATCCATATTTAATAAGGAGACATCTGTTGTGCTCATACCTAATAAAATTGGTATCTGGGATGTTTAAATGCTGGGGCCACAGATAATAACTCCCATATTATGAAAGCTGTTTTCTATTTAATAGTTACTGTTGGTATAGACCAGTAGAGGAGATGAGGTAAGGGTTGGGGGGGGGAACAAGCAAACAGATCATCTTTCTTTCATACACTCAACAAACTGTTTGGTTTCCCAAGATTTTGTGCTTTATGTCTATGTTACCTTGTGCAGCAAAGTAATGTGCTCTTAGTTGAAAGTATTACTTTTTTATCTTAAAAAAAAGCCTCATTTTGTTTAAACCATTTCTGCATGTGCTAATTTTCCTGACTTTTCCTACATGTCTAAAAATGTTTTCCAAATAAAGGAAAATAAAACAATACACAATGTCCAATGTACTTGAACTATATCCTCAAACCTCTATAGTGCATTTTTCTAATTCACAGGAACTACCTCCACACTTCACAAGCAGAACACACACACTTAGCTTCTACTTTTTTATCAAACCATGAAAAAAGTCTTTTTAACAGTGCGTCACACATACAAACCTGTCAATAAGTTTCAAATTGGCAGGTTTTGCATTTACAGCACCTTGCTAATAGCCCTTGGTATATATAATAGGCAATATGTAATACATTTATATACATACAAAGTATATGGCACAGCCTACCAGAAATATGTATATATATACATATACACAGGTTATGTACATATGTTACAAATTATTATACATTCATATAATAACTATATTGAGAGACAATCTTTGCAAAGGCCTAATTCCTAGTCTTAGTCAAAGCTGACTGCTTTACAAGCTTGAACTAGATATGATCAAGGATCATGTCATACAAAAAAGACTGCTCCTTGCTCCTGAATCTAGAATAATTTTGGCATTTTAAGGCCCACATATTTCAGTAAGCAAATAAATAAAAGAAGAAAAGCCCCAAGAAATACTTTCCTAAGACTGATCTTGCCATGGATTGAGGATGGTAAAGATTACAAACTTTAACCATCTCATCTATTCCAGTATACTTTCCAGGGGCGTAACCAGACCTTTAAAAATTGTACGCACTTGTATTTCTTTACTGAGGGGGGGGCAGAACAATTGTGCCTTTACAATTGATACAGAGGATTTGTACATACAGGTGACTTTAATAAGCAGAGGATTTTCTTTTATATTCCGTGAAAAATACACTAAATTTATATAAAATAATATCATGGTTGGCAAAAAAATTGTACGCACAGTGCATTCGTGCGTATGCCTAGTTACGCCCATGCTTTCTGAAGATTTGTCACTTCAAAGTTCCTCACAAACTTGTTCCATCTGACATGTAACCAAGATGATCCTCAAGATCGTTCTGAATTTTTCCATCAGGTACTTCTAAAGATAATCATTTTGGGGAGTGCTGGTCTGATCAATTATCTTTGCCTTGGGGTATGTATCTTCCATAATTTCCTCTGACGTGGTACAAAATACACATAGCACAGTAAGTCTATCACATAAAATCCGATTATCAAAAGGTCCAACTGCATTCATTTATCAATTTTTTGCAGCGGATCATAACAAGCACTTGCATATTATCTGCAGTCCCCTAAAATCACACTCGCTTCCTTTAATTTCTTAAAATGTGGCATTGTTTCTCAATCTTCCCTTCAGGAGCTTCTTTAGCAAAAAGTTTGTTTTCTTGGGGGAAACAATTTAGCCTACTAAGACTTAGCTGACTAAAATGCACTTCCATTCTTCAATTCCAGTCAATGGTTGTTCAAGGATGACAGTCATTTGAGAACCATACAAATCAATCAAACCTGCTTCCCATTTACGTTCCAAAAATTGCCCTTCAAAAACAATCTGGCTGCCTTCTGAAACATTCCAAACAAGGTCTACACAGCTTCTACACTGTCTCCTTCATTCATTTTGTCTCTAAATTTAATAACAAGATCACCTTTCTAGAAATTTCCAATCATCCTCCTTTAAAAAAAATTCAGACATAATTCTTGTACATCCTGAACAAGTTCCATGTTCTCCTTGCCATGTCATTTCCTCAAATCAGAACTCGCTCTTATATAATTTAGTGACAGTCAGGCACAAGCAAGCTGCCAGTCTTCTTTTCAACATACACAGGCCGAATCAGCCATCACCCCTCCTTGAATGTATTTCAGTCCTTGGGGGCACCCTCTCAATGTCAATGGCTAATCAAACTAAGCTGGGTCCAGTCATCCCTAAAAGTCCATCCTGATGGTGCCTCAAATATGTTGGATGACAATCCCTGTAAAAACCACTGGCTCTTCAACTCCCAATAGGCACATAAACACCATAGCCAAAGTGAGCTCTGTGTCCTCGGATATACCTTACAATCTTGGAAGCAGTGGAGCCATTTCCACACCACACACAAATCCTTATGTCGATTTCTGTCTCCTGGGTTTAAAAGTACCATCCCTGTCTTCCTCTAGACTGTCCTCCTGACCTAAAGGGGTTGGAATGTCTGAACTGATGACTGATTGTGAATCTGATGGAGATGTTGGTGAAGAACCTGTCACATGCTGGTAAGGTTGGGGTGCTGCTACCTCTGAAACACCTGCCAGTAAATCGATCTGAAGATTGAAAAAACGCATACGTATATATATATATATATATATATATATATATATATATATATATATATATATATATATATTAATCTATAGCATATAAATACATATAAAATGGTTAATCTGCATGATGCATATTAATTTATTAGTGACATTAAAGAATAATACCATTTGAACTGTCACCTGCATCACAGCCAAGGAGGTTTTTAGTCATAGAATTAATGTTTCTCACTTTAATCTCAACCTTTCAACATTTTGCAAACAGAGGCCATGGCAACCTTCAAAGCAACTTGCAATCCATATGTCTAGATTCTGTCTTGCTTGAAATATCATAAACAGCAAGACCAGTGAAACTTTTTAATATAGCTTATGAAATGGTCAATGTACAAAGCTTAATTGAATGAGGGTAAGCACAAACATACCGGTGTTTTGCTTTCGTCAGAGCTTCCTGTCTGCTTCTTTTCTAAACTTCCGGCACTAAGAGCACTGGTCCCTTGTATTGCACTGTTATCTAGTAGATCCTGACCTTGACCTTGAACATTTGAATGACTATCACTATCTAAATGCTCATCTGAAGACAAAGAACTTATATGACCTTGAGATGCATGACCTTGACCTCCGTGCGTTTGCATCCTTGAGTGTCCTTGATCTACAGTATAATCTAAGTCAGTTGCACTTTTAATATCACCAGCACCAGATTTCTGGGACTGTTCTGTACTTTTGGAACTGTCTGTAAGATATCCCGGGTGACCTTGAGAGGCATGGAGGTCAGAACCTTGACCTGTGTTGGAACTGTCTGTAATATATTCTGGGTAACCAGGGGGAGCAGAGATAATCCCTGAAGCACTCTGGCTCCTCAGTATGTCTAGAATCATGGAAATGTCCGCTGCCATCTTTCCCTCTAGCCTGGTTAACTGCCTGTATAATAAGAGTAGGAGCAAGAATAAGGCACTAGTGATGAGTGTCCACTCTGAATTTAACCTTGTTTTCATCATCTTACAACAACTTAAATAAATTATCTATAAATACACTTTTTCATAGTTTCAAAAAAAGACTTTTAAAAACGACTTAAAAGAGNGACTTTTAAAAACGACTTAAAAGAGAATTTACATGTTAAAAAACTGCATCTTTCAGAGTTTAATGAACAATGATCATATACATGTAACAACAGCCAATCACAAACTCTGTACCTTGACAGGTCATCTAGTCTCGACTCAACGGCCACATTCCCGCCCATGTCATCTCGCGAGGCGTAGCGGTCAATGACAATCTGTGGGCGTGGCACCTGGGTGGCATCGTCAAACTGTGATTGGCTTGAGGGGCTGGACACAGGTATGGTCATGCTGGACGTTGACTTGCAGGCAGCACTGGAGCTAGAGGTTGTTGGAGGCTGCTGAAGAAATGGAAACTTTCATTTTACAGTATTGAAAACCTGACAGTATTTCATTACTGAAACTGTGACATAATTCAGATTTGTCACTTATCCCCAAGGTCTCTACCACTTGTGTTTTGGACTTAAGGTACATGGTCCACATAGTGGAATAATGGTATATTCTTTTACATTATGCCTTCCTCTGCTAGTTTGTCTGAGTAATCAAACATAACAATAGGTTATCTTTAAGACTCCCCCCCCCTTCAAAAAAATTTTGCTAAAATCAGAGAGATTGTGTCATATTCTCTCATTTGACTGAGAAGTTTACCTGAGGGCTCTGTTCTCTCTGTGGACTATTCTCTCTAGTATCTCTGGCCTCTGTGGTGCCCAACAGTGGTGTAGACTCTGGCTCATCTTGGAAACTCTTGCCAGTGGTGACACCTTGCATCAGATTGTTGACCCCGGACAAAGCACCTGCATTTGATAATGTGTCAAAAATATATTGTAATCATATATTTTTCCCTTAATTTATAAGTAGTAACTGAGTAAACTGTGGCTAACTAGTCATATATACCCAAGATACCTAGAATGAGGCAAGCATATTGCCTGACCCAATCTGTAAATTCCTCATGTTATTCTTCAGTAAAGAAAAAAACTGGCTTCTGATGCTTTTAAATTATCAAAATGTTATCAGGCTCAATCCAGCATAATCAAATTGTAGCCTAATGTGAAGCTTTCTAATTTGGCTAAAATAAATAAATAAATAAATAAATAAATAAATAAATAAATATTTTAACCAAATTCATCTAAAATCATTAATTTATACATTTTTCCTTATTTGCATTCTGTTTTAGTGTGCATTCAGGTATTGGTAACTCTATACACATATTCATAATGTACTAGTAGACGTTTTATCAACTCCTTTGTTGGCATTCCTTTGTCTGTAACATGACTTCCGAATATATTAATCTGCTAATTACAAGGGAGTTTACAAAACACTATAAATTTTTGTTGCTTTTTTTTTTTTTTTTTTTTTTTGCAGCATACTGATGTTTAATAGTCTATATACATAATGCTGATAAATAAGTGGACTTTAATTGTGCAAATTCAAAGATGTGCAACTCATGCTATTAGTGATGGGAATACTAATAGTAACTAGCATTTCATCAAATTCTATTTTTAATATTCACTCAAGACAACACTACAAACAATCAAATGTTTTTTGATATTTTTTCATATACTGGCTTTTTTTCTGTTTTATCACATTCCTGTTAGTGAAAAACAATACACCTCCAATTAAAACAATTAATCCATGCACTTTGGAATTGATTAAGATTTCTAATTAAAATTATGAATCAAATCACTTGTCAATTAATAAAATCGCTAATTTATCTAATTTAAATTAATTACTTTTAAT